ATTGTTGCGAGAAGAGCAGAGGATGACACTTGACGATTTTTCAATTTTTTGTTGCTTTCTGAAACTCTCAACGAAATTAAGAGATTGTAAATTCTTTGGGGCGTTTTTATTTATATTTGATTATGGTGGTTGGTAATTTCCACGTGGTGGATTGTGACGAGGGTTTCTTTGTAGTCGGCCGTCTTTCCAAAATTTCTCCGAGGCTTGCTAGAAGAATGTTGTTCACTTGTCGAGCCAGATGCTTTACAGGGAGAGGAAGATTTTTTTTTTTTTTTTTTTTTTTGATGAAAGAAATAAATCAAGGGAAAGAAGGCTTTTCGGACAGTCCAATAAGTTTGACAAACTTTTATTTCTGTTACATCGTATATAATGATACATTGCGATAGAAACGTTAAGGTCATTGAATTATTGATTCAGAGTGACAGGAAAATTATTCATCGATATATAAAATATGTAGTAAAAATTATAAATTGATCATTTCGACCACTTACATAGTTCTGGTGTTCAGAGGCAATTAGTAATCAATTTGATTTTTAACTAACATATAATTACTTTTTACATAAAAGTTTACTTAAGTTTACTTAAATTTACTAAAAATTTACTTAAGCATAAAAATTTACTTAAATTTACTAAAAATTTACTTAAACATAAAAATTTACTTAAATTTACTTAAATTTACTAAAAATTTACATAAACATAAAAATTTACTTAAGTTTGCTTAAATTTACTAAAAATTTACTTAAACATAGAAATTTACTTAAATTTACTTAAATTTACTTAAACATAAAAATTTACTAAAAATTTACTTAAATTTACTAAAAATTTACTTAAATTTACTAAAAATATACTTAAATTTACTAAAAATTTACTTAAACATAAAAATTTACTTAAAAATTAACATTTTGTACATGTGAACAAAGTTACAAGTTAATAATTAACAATACACAGTACTATCGTACGTACAAAACAATAAATGTACTTTCAGTTTGTAAAAAACATATTAGAAATTACAGTGTTACAGTTTATCGTTCCCTTAAATTAACAATGGCCGTAAAATAACGAAAATCTGAAAAAATTATTTTATTAATCACACTTATTGTAAATATTAAATTATTAATCACTGTAATGGAGAAGCCGTATTATCGAAGTATCGAAGATATTATCAGTTGTTCCGCATCATAGGTTGACTTTGATCGGTCATCGAGACAGACGCTCATTACCAATTAAACTTTCGTCGCGTGCGCATCGACCAGAACTGTAGTTAGAATTTCAATAATATTTCTGAACATTTCATAACGTTTCTAATCATTTATACGTAACAATTATACATTTATACGTAACAATTATACAGTTAATTCTCTCCTATAACGAGTATCATTTAAAATTTGTAATTAATCATTAATTTGTAACAATCGACGTCACTAACACGTTAATTCTCTTCTAATGACATTTTCGAGTAACGTTTAAAATTTTTCATCAATCATGTAGCAATCGATACATCACCGATACATCTCTGTGAAATTTTTATCAACTGTTTCGCTGCATCGTTCGACAACCTCGACCGATACGGAGATAAGAGCTCATTATCAATTGAACCGCCGTCACGTCGACGAAAATTTTAAAGGTGAACTTTTAAACAATATATCTGAATATTATTCTGATTGTTCAAAACGTTACCTAACATTCAAAAAGTATTAAAAGTGAGTTAAAAGCGATAGAAGTGAACTTTCGGATAATATTTCCGAATATTCTAATTGTTTAAATATTATTTGACATTTAAAAAAAAGTGTTACAAGCGTTAAAAAGCGATAAAAGCGAGTTGAAAGTGATGCAAGTGAATCTTTAAATTAACATTTCCGAATATCGTAATTGTGTTTCTAATTTATTATTTAATACTTAATATCTAATTTACATCTAATATCTAATATCTATTTATTATCTAATTTATTATTTAATATTGTTTAAAAAGTGCCACAAGTGTTAAAAGTGAACCTTGCGGATTGTGTTCAAACGCAGAACATTGCTGAAGGGAAGCAGAAGCATCGGCAGATGTTCAAGAAGTTTCAGAGGTATTACTCGAACATAATCAAGTCCAAACCTCAATCCACAATTCCAGAGTTCAACGATCGGTAAGTCGCATGGTTTGGGTTCTTTAATTGGGTTAAATACTTGATGATGATTATTTGAACTTTAATTGAATACTTGAATTGTCATAAGTTGTATCGCACTCGTACGTGATATATATGCAATTTTGATAGTTACTATACTTTAGTAATTACCGAAATGACTTTTTCTCCGCACGTACACGTAATATTAATTTAACAATACTAACGCCATTTAAATATTATTGGACACATTAAATATTTCTCTTTGAACTTTTAATTAACAAAAAAAAAAAATGATTTTGTCCTTTACTACCAATTTCTTAAGCGAGAATGTTTATTTCAGTGTTTTTTAAATTTAGCTGTAATTATATTTATATTGATACTTATATGTTATATTATTATAATTATATTTATATTAATACTTATATATTACATTCATAATACTTATATAACATTTATAATAATTATATTTTTATTAATACTTATATATTACATTCATAATACTTATATAACATTTATAATAATAATATTTATATTAATATTATTATTAAATTATATTTATATGTGACAATTATAATTTAGTTATAGTCGTTGTCTTGGGAGGTGCAGAATGCTCCGCGTGACTTTTATTACTGGCTTTTGTTATTTTCACGAAACAGTCAATTATTTCAATCTCTCATGCAGCGTTCTCATGCACAATTTTCTAGAATTCAGTCGAAGAATTTCGATCTGATCATCTTCGAATACTTATGAAACTTCTTTACAGAGCTCGTTATACTGTACAAAGTGTGCAGCTCGCAAAAAAAAATACGATCGACGCAAATAAATATTTCAATGGAATTATTGCCATTCTGACATGTGAGAATGCGATGTAAAATAATTCGCAAATCAATATTCTGAAATATATTTTGTGACGATATATATATTTTTCACGTAATTATATTTTCTAATTAATTTAGTTTATTAATTTATTATTAATTTATTATTAATTTAGTTTATTAATTTATTATTAATTTCTTATTTTATTAATTTCACTAATTAATTTAGTTAATTCGGTGACAATTCAGTTTTGATACTTCATTTCCTTTGACACCATAATGAATGACGGGAAGCATCGTCGAGAAACGTCAGATATTAGCGTAATTTCGAAACGAGAATCTCGGGGAAACGATCCTGCTCGCAACTGAATTACCTTGCAAATGTAAAAAATCGATCGCCTCGGACATCTATATTACGGCTGTAATTCGCGCGCATCCAATTTTTGGAATTTGCCCTGTATTTTGTTTGTTTGTTTACATTTTCTCTTGTTTATTTACGTTTCACTATATTTATTTACATTCGAAATGTAAACAGACGTGCGTGCACGAGAACCACGGGACGTTCCGTCATGTTCATCGTGACTTTTAATGTTCGTTTGTACCCCCTGTTGAATCTGTCCTTATTTATTTACTATGCCATCGAGTTCCTCGAATCGCATTTCGTTCTAACTTTTGAAACTAATAAGGAGACAAGTAAAACAGTGAAGGTTCCATTTAAAAAAAAAAAACTGATTTATTCAGTTCAGAATACAGTACACGGTACAATTCGTGCAATTAGCGATTTCATGGTAAAAATTATTCGAGCGAGTGCTCCGATCTACATATCTAGGAAAATTCCTACGTCTTTATAATACGTGCATAGAGAGAGTCGAGTGTCATATTATGCATGACGCATATAATAAAAAAGTTCTCGAATTAATCACCTTATGTTATCTTTCTTTTCTTTTCTCTTTTCCATTTTTTTTTTTTTTTTTTCTTTTTCTTTACAAATGAAAACTTGATCGATTCGTGGTCCTTAAAATGCACCGCGTAGCGACGGAATTGTGGAACTAATCGACATTTTTTGTTCTTGTCGCACGTTCTTGCGTTCTCTGTCTGCGGATGCTGCCTGAATGGCAATTAGTTTCGCCGTTTAGCCGCTATGTGGCGCTAGTAGGTCGCCGTGGACAGTGCTGCCATCTTAAATCTTCTCAGTTTCGATGGAACTAAAAGGATAAAGAGAAAAAAGTCGATAGATGGCAGCACTTTGCTCATTTTGCTGGCTGTTGGTTCTAGATTAATCCGATAGGTGGCAGCACCTGCTCTGTCGGTATAGCGATTGTGATAATTTATATTTGTATCACAATGCTATAAATAAATAAATAAATAACTCCGTAATTGATTTTTGTTGTTTATATAAAAATACCATTATCACAAAATATACAATTACTAATAATTTAATGAAGTTTACATAATAGAATTTAAATGACGAAATAACGAAATAACGAAATAACGAANTATGGCTACAATATATATAAGTGGCAGTAAACATTTCCATGGTGATAATAAAATTAATAGCTATTTTTAAATACTCTATTGTTTATATTAAATATACATCTCGACGGAACATGGATGTCGTTGATCTAAATTCTTCGAAGTAGAGGTCGCTACATCGGTGTAGCGACCGCTACCTCCGCGAAACACCAGACAGCGCCACGTATTTCCGCAGGAACTTTCCGTCGAAAGGTGTGTTTCCAATAAAACAGGCAGCGACACCTTTTTCCGAGCAAAAAAATAAAAGCCCGGGAAAAGCCGGAAAAAGGCGGGAAAAAGATTTTCCCCCTCTTCGCAAGCAGTAGCTATAAAGCCAGGTTGCGAAGAGGAAAAGTACTACTACTTGTCCTGCTTCGCCTTCTGCGTTTTACTGTGAATATAAGTTTTTGTCCGCTAATCGAGTGCTGTGATATAAAATTTATACCAAAGTGTGTAATACCAAAATATATATATTTATTCAAATTTCATCTGTGTTAATTATTTATGTAAGAACCCGTGGTTGGATTCTACATTACCTACTACGTGTTTCCTACATCGGTAGACAAGAAACGCAATGGCGTGCAACAGGGACAGAAATAGCTGTTATTTCTACCATTCCGCCGTTACGTGGCGCTAGCGTTTCAGTGACCATGTGTGGAGTGTAGTAATGTAATTATTTGTGAAGTTATGAATACAAGAGCTGATTAATATAAATTTTTCATCTTCGTTTTATACAAAAAGCATCATCGTCGATCAGTCATTTATATCTAGTCAGATCATCAACTGCTGCGCCAATTCGCATCCTAACCTCTTTCAGAATTGTAACAACATCTCGTTAAACGATACTGTTGTGAATACTTGCAAATATGACGTCGATCTTGAAAACATTCAACGGATATCAACTGTTCAGTAAACACTTAAAACAAAGGTAGTAACTTAAAAATAATCACAACTCGTTACTTGACTTTCATACTTTCGAAAAATAAATTAATTTCTCTTAATTTCAATGTAACTGTTTCAGCCTTGACATGATAGCTGTCCCTGTTCGCGGTAGACAAAACCCACCGCCAAGGAAACGTCATCCAGAGTGGCTTCCGAAACCAACACGCGTAGTACGTAGTTGGAAGATACAAATAACATTTCAATTTTTAACAAATACTCTACGTCATTGTCACTTGTATTAGCGATATAATGAAGACCTTACCCCAGAAAATAAAGAATTCCTGTCAGAAGTTGCATCGCTCAATAAAGGATTGCACAAAATGCCTAAATCTCCGTTAAGTACGGAACTTATTCAGCCAACAGCATGGACACAAGGATCAAAACGCACCGGTTTAATTGGAAAAAAAATAGGGGTATATCCGTTGTGGTTGAAAAATGGAAAAAAAGTACTGACCACCCTGATACAGGTATGCAAACATATAAAACACGTTTTAATTTCATATAAACTGATATATCCAGTTCTTCGATAGATTATAGACAACGAAGTTGTAAAATATATACCACCAGAAGAATTTAATCCAGTTAAACATTCTAAACACCTTCATCCTAAAGTCAAAAATGGTTGTCTAGTATTAGGTGCAGTAAATATTGATCCACAACTTGTAAGTTGCATTTTCTATGTTAATATTTACCTAAGTATCTCAAATGTGTCTACATTACCAATTTGTACAGATTACTAAGGAATATTATGGGATATTCAATTCAGCTGGAGTTACACCGAAAAAGTCACTAATGAGGTTTGTAATTACACCGAATGCTGCTCTTCAATCAGGAACTCCTTTATGTGCAGCTCATTTTAAACCAGGAGAATTTATTGATATTCGAGGAAAAACGTAAATCTCATTTACTATTACTTTCTTTTATATAATATATTTAAATTTAAATATAAATAATATAAATTTTATATATATACGATGTGTGTAATCAATTGTATTATTCTTTATAAACATAGGATAGATCGTGGTTTTCAAGGTGTAATGAAAAGGTGGGGCTTTAAAGGTATGCCTGCGTCTCACGGTGTAACTAAAACTCATAGAAGACCAGGTAATATAGGTTCAGGAGGAGCAAAGGCCAGGGTAATGCCAGGTACTAAACTGCCTGGACACATGGGAAATCGTTGGCGTATTCTCAAAGGTGTAAAGGTAATTTATAATCTTTATATTCTTATAACTTTTACGATTCAAAACAGAATTTTAATTCATCAGTTAGCACACATCTGTTACATTTATGATCCATTGTTTCTTTTTTTTTATTGCAAATATAATAATTTAAAAAATTAACACAATTTTGAATACATTTTTATCCCTAATTGTTGTAAAATATCATATTTAAATTTGGTACAAATTTGATATTTGTCAGAATAAATAATAATATCATATATGATATAAACAAAAGAAGTTAGAATATGGTTTAATTTTTTTCTTATTCTTTCATGTATAACAATATATTAAAAAGTACAATTAAATTTTTATTTTTTCGATCGAACCATATAACTTTTTTTGTTTTTAATATAATTAGAGCAAATATTCGAAATGATCTATCAGTATAATAACTATATCAAATTATTGTTTATACATATATGTGAACACTATAATAAATATTTTTGCAAATTTTATACAAAGATAGTGCACATTTGTTTTTTTTTTCTTTTTGTATTGAATTTTACGAAAAAAAATATTCGCTGGTTATAATTACGGGAACATATTGAATTTTCACATTTGTCTTAAATAAAATTAATTACAAATTATACATAACATGTACATATGCAACACTTTAATTAAATCTTTTGTAATTATTATATTTTTATGTTCTATAAGGAATTGAAAAATATTTTCCATGTAAAATGTATTTTAGAAATGAGATATATTTTGAAATGTTTACATGAAACATTTTAAAAAGTAAATATTTGTGATAAAATATCTTCGTACATCATTAAGCAGTTACAAATTCTCAATTATTTTAAGGTATATTACTTTTAAAAGGAAGATACATTATACAGCAGTGGCACTTTGAAATTATTTTACAGCTTAAAGAATGTGTCTTTTATTTAAATAATCTTTTGTCATAATTATTTCTTTTTAAATAATTGGTAATCTAAATAATGTAGAAAATTTGCAAAAATAATAAAGTTATGCTAGGATTATATCAAAAATTTATCAACAAGGCATGTAATAACTTCTTTCTCTTAATATTCTGATTAGAGATATGAAAAAGTTATTAGTTATCATTTCTAATGAAAGCTCTCAACCTTAGTATTAAAAACTTAAATTAATTTTCTTATGGCATTATTTAAAGACATATCTCAATTATATGACTATACATAGTGACCCCCTATTTCATTAAGTGACATAAAAATTTCACAACTATTTTAGATTTGTAAATAAAAAAGATTATAACTAAAAGAAGATATTAATTTATTAATAATTGCAATAGCAAACATCCTAAATAACTTCTTTGCTAAAATCCATTCTTTAGGAAGAATTCACCATAATTAGATTAATAAATAATTATAACGACGTAAATATGTTGAGGATTATTAACAATATTATTAGCAATTATATATGATGGCTTTAAATTATTATTAACCATTTGTGTGTATGTTGCAGATACTACGAATAAACACTAAATATAATGTAATTTGGGTATTAGCTCAAAACGTACCAGGAGAGGTAAATACCATGTGTTATTTGTACGATACGATTTTACCCACTAAAAAAAATACTTCGCCACATTTCCCTACATATCCACCAAATGACATAAATGCACTTCCTGAAGAACTTTACGCGGATGACGTTCACCCATTTACTGAACCCAATATTGAATATCAATCAGAACAAGAATCTTAATTGTAATAGATAAAACGTAGTACATAAAACAAATTCTTAATAAGAGAACACGTTTTATGAAAATATAAATCTCTTTGAATTTTTTTGGTAACCTGTTTACTCGCGCGATCAAAAGTTCAGGCAAAAATCGGCAATTAATATTGCCACATTTGTTGTTCATATTCTTTCCCTTACAGAAATAAGTCGTAGACGTGAATTAAGCTAATAAAGAGTAGTCAATTGATTTATTTATTTAGTAATCAATATTATTATAAATTTAACATGCCTAAAATATACACGAACTGTTTTATAAATGTAACATCACTAACCAAGACTCATCTCGTAAGTTAGAGTGGAGAGCAGCATAATAAAAAGGGCTTTTCCTCGTTGCTCTTCAATGTAGAGAGCAAGTCAATTAATTTACTACAATAATTTAGTCGGTATAATGCATGTCATTAGCTGCATTCGGTTAAGTACCGCTCCACCGATAATTTTCATGTAATTGGAAAAGGAAACAAGGTAACGTATACATTGATAAAAGATTTGAAAAGAAAAAAACACAGATTCTTATTTTATAAGAAACTTTCTCGTCCCACAACTTTATCCTTCCTTTATCCTTCTAATTTCTTTTTTTTTTCTTTTTTTCTTTTTTTTCTGATAAAACATCGGCCATTCATAATTATGTTTTTAAATCAGCGAAACCAAATATAATCTTTGATTCGGTAATGGCATATTGAAATTATCACTGATATTGTAGGAGTAAAAATGAGACAATATAAAAGGGTAAATAGAATAACTCCATAATGGAGTTTGTCGGGGGACGGCACGATCAGATAAGAAATAATGGAGGCCCTCTCAGAACTTAAAACCTTCGTTCGAAATGCTTGTCGTCTGATCAAATTCAAATGTTGATTCCACAACGTGTGGTTCCAGATTCGTGTCATTTGTCTAGAAACATTACGAAATATATATTCTTACTGTATATAAATTATGATCAAATTAATCATTACAAAAATAAAATAAATACATACGTCTTCCGAAAAGTATTGCTCAATAATTTCGTATGCTAATTTGTAAATATCTATGTTGTCGTGATTTTGCAATGCTTCAATCTTATCCAACCCTACAAAAACATAAATTTCGTAACGTAAATTGAAATCATGTTGCATACGAAATGAAATATCACAGACTAACCTGAACATTCTTCAATCATATTAGCCAATTGTTCAACTTGTGATCCAGCAAGTTTGAGCATATTATGTATACCGTCTAAAACAACCTGTATAACTTGAGTATCTTTACAGTCAAGGAGATTACAAAAGGGTGCGATAACGCCTTCTTGTATCATCCGCGCAACTTGTTCTTCATTGCCACTTATTGTTAAATTGCTAATTGCCCATGCTGCTTCTTTTTGCGTTTGGAATTCACCCTATTAGAAAGACAAATATATTGATGAAATAAATACACCAATCGACAAAAATTAACGAATTTCGACAATTTCTTACATTCATTAAATTGTGAATAATAAGAGGCAGTAATCCAGCATCTATGACTGCTTGAACCTGAGACTGATTACCAGCAGTTACATTTGACAGGAACCAAACAGCTTCTTTACAAATTTTCTCCCTCGAATGAGTTAATAAATTGGGGAAATATGAGAGCGCGTCGCAATTTAGTACAGTTTGTGTTTGCTCGTCTGTGCCCGTTACGATATTACCAACTGCTCTTAATGCAGCCGTTTGCACCTTAACTTCTTTGTGCGAGAGAAGTGGTATAAGACGGGGCACTACACCACTGTCTATAACCATTTGAATTTGTTCATTACCACCATCTGTCAAATAGCTGACTGCCCAAATTGTGTCCACAAGAATCTGCAGTTTATCTCAAATATAATAGATTGTCTCCACAATAACCTAAATGTCTAAATAACTGTGTCTTACATTGATATCTGTGTGATGTATAAGTACATTTAGAGCAGGCAAAATTTCCTTAATAGTTTGAACAGGTGGTGGTGGATCTTTATTCCTACATAAATTTACGATTACCCAAGTTACATTACGTAAAAAAGTAATTGGTATATCTGGTTTAATAAACGTTAACAATGGCTGTACAACACCAAGCTTGATAACATAATCTCTAGATGCAGGACCATCTCCGATTATATTTCCTGGAATAGAAAGGATTGTTAACACCACGCGATAATATTAATTCTATATTAATTTACCTTACCTAAAGCCCACACAGCTTGTTCACAGACATTCTGTTGACTTGAAAGCAACAAGTGTAAGAAATGTGGAACTGCACCAGCAGCTACAACTGCTTGTGTCTGAGGTGATGTTCCACTCGCTATATTTGTTAAAGCCCATGCTGCTTCAAATTGGAGTGATGGACTGGAAGGAAATTAAAAACATATTTCAAACAAGTTTCTAAAAAAAATTATCACATTCACATTTGATTATGTTTCTATCTTAAAAGCAAAAAATAATTACTGAAATTTCTATAAATATGAAATCTTACTCAAACAACCAATAATCACCTGTAATCACAATTTTACTTTCACAAAAAAGAACATGTTAAGTAGCATTATATATTATTATCATACCTATCATGCTGTTCAAGACAATTAACTAAAATTGGTAAAATGCCACTATCAATTAATAGATCAATTGGTGGATTACGGTCTGATGATAACAACTTTCTTGCTTTTTGTACAGCCTCTAATTGAACAGGTGGCTCTGAACTAGCAGCTTTCATTACCAGTTCCTTTAAATCAATTTTTGACAAATCAATGTTATTTTTATCAATATCTTCTTCATCTGGAAAAAAATGTTGTTGCATCAACAATACACTATTCCTTTTCTTTAAAAATTATACCTATTAAATCTGTAATAGGCACATTTCTTCGTTTCTGTAAAGTCTCATCACGTTTGTTTTTACGTAATTCCACTGTTGCCTCATTTCTTCGTCTTCTCATCTCCTAAAGCACACGATACATACATATTTTAAAAGTACTACAATCAATTGCGCAGTATTTCAATGTATTTTAGATACAAATTCATGTCATAAAGGAGGTGCAGATTAATTACATTTTCATTATAAAAAGATATTAAAATTATAATTTTATTTTGTTTTGAAATTTAGAAAATATGCATCACAATAATTTTAACAATAACTATACAATAGATCTTTCTTTGTTCAAAAACATTTAAAATATTAGAAAATGAAAATATTCTGCTCAATGTACACGTAACAATTATATAATTTAATAATAACAATTTGTCAATTTTTCTTAATTTTAGTAAAGTATAATAACAATAATAATAATAATAAAACACATTTTAATAAAAAAAATATATTTACAATATTTGAAAACTTTTACTTATATATACAAATATAAAACAGTAGAAAACTTTATTTCTCGATAGGATTTTTCAACTAACTTTATTCTGTTAGTTGCAAAGAATTTCAATAAACATTTACTTTTTATTAAAACATAAGGAATAAAAAGGTAAGGAACAAAAAGGTAAATTAAAATATTACATACATTCTACAGAAGGCTGAAAATTCTTTGTTACATCTTCTTAAATGTCTTGAATGTCTTAATTACAATTAAAAAACAAAGTACATAAAAGTTAAAGAATAATATAATGATATTGCACAGCAAGATATTAATAAGTTGGTCGTAAGGAATTGAACAAATAACTATAACAAAGTGATTCCACTACATTTCCAATAAAAAATTCGTTCAGATTTATCTCTGTTAATGCTATATTTGACATTGATGCAACGACACTGTCCATTCAGAATTCGGAACAGTAGGCAAAATACGATGCTGCAGCGCTTGATAGAATTAAGATCAAGAGTTCTCGTGCGTTCTGTGCTAGCTGAATCTAGAGAAATATGCAGGAAATTCATCTGGCGAAGGGACAATAAGGTATGCAAATAGATTGCAGAAATTTGAGAGAAAAAAAAAACAAAAAAATAAAAAAAGACTAGCATCCGTAATAATGTTGGATTTATCCCGTCAGTACAACAGCCGAAACTTCCAGGCGCACATCGTAACTGCGCACAATGATGAACACACACCGGATACTCACTTCTTGGTCTTTGCCTTTGTTCTTAAAAACCATCATTCGATTCTTGCTTTGCATTTCCGCCGCCATTTTTTTTCAATAACCAAATCGTCGCTTGTATTGATATGTGCCGGCACCCGGATACCCGTGACTACTGCGAAAAATTCTGTATCCGTGTTACTGTGGTCGATTTACCTACGACAGCTGCATGCCGTTGCGCGACAGCCTTAATGTACGTCAACGTACAACGGGATAATAATGTGTAACGCTCGTTTCTTGGATCACAATCGGTTATTAAATATTCTATCTTGGTCACGTTTTCTTAGCACAAACGCAACGTTTCAGCCATTTCCGAGAAGAACATCGGAAATGAGCAAGGTGGCGCTTCGGAAGACGCGTGTGTTTTCACTACGTTCACCTTCACAATCAGTAACATACGATCGACAAGGAAATCAACACAGCGCTCTCACGGCGCTTGCATTGCGAATTTGCTTTAATCCTCCGTCAGTGTTACTTCTAAAAAGTAACTTGAAATTCTACAAAATGTCCAACGACGATGGAACAGAATGATAATCGCGAACATCGTAATTTTATAAGTTTGTAAGTTCCACGACAAGATTTTGATACTGCTGTATCACGAATGTTGCAGTTTGAGAATAAATATTTTAAAATTTAACTGCTAATCCGCCTTGATGTGCGAGGATTGCGAATCTGTTTTAACTTGTTCTGGCGCGAATTTTAAATATTACGAAATGTAATATCAAAGACGAAACGAATGTTTGAAACATTGCTACATTATTATATTAAATTACAACTTCAACAACAAAATGACACGTCAATATATACTTTTTAAAAGGAATTAATCGATATACGGATAATATATTTGATTGACATCAACTTTCCGCGGAATCTTTTCCACAACGTGAATAGTCACGATACGGTGCTGTTCTCGAGATGATTGAACTACAGCTCCGCAGTAAGTTCTAAGAGTAAAGTAATATCCAATTTCGATATTTACAATTAAAGAGTATCCTAGAAAGAGGCCTGCAATGCCACCGAATGACACAAGTAAATCTAAATAGCCAAATCGCATTTCTATTTTATAGAGAGCTGTCGGCCAGTTTCTCAACATGATTCGATTGGTACTTTTAGGAGACGCTTGTATTTGCATTACATCATACGATACATGATCGCAAGATAGCCAACAACCACATTGTGTCACGTCCATATTAACGTGATATAAGCAGGAATACTTTGAAGGTGGACATTCTTCTTTCTGATTAAACGATAAAAACCACGGTGAACATCTGCACTCTTTAAGTAGCTTGTCGGTGAGACAATTGATCTCGCAGTCGTTAAAATTTAAATTTATATCTTGTTTGGAGTAACATTTTCGTTGTCCAAGAGACAGATGACGAATGTCAGGAGTTGTATATGTTATATGAACGATAAATTCAACATCTATAGGAAAATAGGCTCTTACTACCGGTCTTTCATCTGGTTTTGGACTTTCAACATTTTGTTCCGTATAATAAACCCTGCAAGTAAGAATCTTAATTCAAATAAATCTTGAATTCAATTTAATAATATTATTAATTAGTCTTTTATGGTAAAAGAGTTATTTGATTTTATTTATAAAATGAATTCTTACCTTAGGGGAAAACTTGTACTGGAGATCTCAAATTCAAGACTCCATGAAGGATCTATAAATCTAAGTGGCTCTAAATTTCTAGATTTGCAGCAAATGCCCACGGCAGTAGACACTTTTGTAAATAGTGCATTACACGATTTATTTACTCCTCTAAAAAACAATAATTTTATGATGAAATATGTACCAATTTCGTGTTTATAATAAGATAATTGTATCTACCTGTATACACAGTCACTAATTAAAGAGTCACAATCGGGTGCCATCGTTTCAAAAGTTCTACGAAAGTTATTCCTGCTTTTGTAAACAGCTGGGAATAATTGTGAATCGATACTTTTTCCAAAAGTCCAGTTATATAATTCTTCGTACATATACATTTCATTCTGTACACGAAATGTGATCTTGTGAGAATAAAATTATGAAAAAATGAGAATAATTTTATGAGAATAACGTTACGTTTACCTCAGGTACATCCGAATGATTCAAGTGAAACCAATCGAAACAAATGAAGACCTGAAGAAATTCGATGTTAATATGTTCCGTTATCATATCTAATCCAGTTATAGTTGGATCTGTTTGGAATTTGCCTAAGATGATCACGATTATAGCCACAATTGCAAATAGCGATGCGAACGTCAAAAAGAACCACATTAATCTACGAGCAAACCAGTTGAAAATTATCCACGAATCAACGAAATCAAAAGAAATCGTGAATTTCATGTAAAATCATCTTTCTTTTTTTAACAAGTAAGTAGCATTGAGTTATCCATTTTGTACAATTAATTGCAAAACAGTTAAATTACAAGATTACCTCTCCCATTTAGGTCGCGTAGGGTCCACAAAATATGGAACACCATGTAAAGTGTTTTCCAAAAGATATTCTCTCGTTCGATACTTCAAGCTAGAACGTAATTCCTTTAAGGATGGATTATACTTGTATCTCATTTTAAAATAAGTCTGACAGGCGTATGCACTTTTACAGCTATACTATAAGAGCAAATAAGCTGGACAAAGAAATCACGCCGATCGATTTTTTTCTTTTGAATCGCATGTCAGCTTGGAACATACATTATGCATATTATACACATAACGCAATTAATTTATCACTTTGATCAACTGAAAAAAAGGAAAGATAGGATCGTAGATTAAAGCAAAACAGCAACGCTGCTCGTTTATAACGATTCGTATCATATTTTACTGATTGGTTCATTTCATTTCGCGAGAAAGCGAAGCTTTTGAACATTGAAAAATGTTTTACGAAAGTATGTAACGAAAAAAACAGGTAACGTTTATTATTGCTCCTTTCTAGAGAAGACGAAAAATGATTGCTAACAGGAAATATCGATAACTATGAGTTTATTCGAAGTATTGTCTTTCGAATATACGTTTTTCCAGTTGCATCTCGTTGTTTAAGAGTCGGCCATCATCTGTGGAAACACAAACAGCCCTCATCTTCACGTCAGCTTCTTTATTATTTTAGACCATCCCCTCTTACGACCACCATCTGCATGCATGCCGACGTTGTTCCGGTCGCCGTACTAAGAAAAATCCACGATCATCGAGTTAAGCGGGCGTAAACTACCCTCTTGATCTCTTCCTCGGATCCGCTTTCGCTTAAAAAACGCTCCCCTCCTCGCTGCGAAAATTCATCGTGCACCATCATCAAGCATACAAACATTTGTTTTTCTAGCTTAAAACACATGTTTACTCGGTTCATTCGAATGTTATTCCTCGCGTAGACAAATAATGAAATTAACTGAAATAACAAACAGGCCAGAGTGAAGTGGGAACGTCGATGAGACATCAATGTCTGGCTGAAAAAGAAAAAAGAAGAAAACGATCAACGACAACGATCCAATTGTCGCGAGTCACGGTGATAATTAAAAGAGCAACGCGTCTGAAAGTGAAGAGAAATGAGAAGAAAAATTAACGAAGCTCTGTTGTTAGGAGTCGTTTGACGCAAGGGCGAGGAAAAGAAGAGAAAAAGAAGCGGCGCTATTCTTGCGTCCAGGTGTGAGCCTGTAACGCCAGTGTAAATATACAACACTTACGCCATTCTGACGGAGCCTCTTCGAAAACTATTAACGTATCCCGCTGTGTTGCGGCTTTGCCGACCATTTTTCCGTTCCGAGCCATTTCTCTTTCTACCGGACCGTGTTCGTTTCGTCCCTTCGGAACACTAAGTGGCACGTGTTAAAGAACTTAAGCAGGTAGCCATCAATGTTAACCAGAGTGATCATCGTTTATTTGCCACTGTTGAAAGAGATTACTGTCACTCGAGGATAGTCATGTCCTATGTCCCTTCGGGCTGGGCCCTTCTTTTAATGTCAAACAATTATAAAAAATAAATAGTTTCTTAATTAAGTTTCAAACAACCAGTTTTAAAATTAGAGACTTTCGTACCATCAGTTTAAATTAATTTGGGTAAAAATGTTATATTCTTATCCTCTGCTCTCTTTCGATTCGTATGATTTAGCAAGTCTTAATCGTGATTTAGAGCTATAATTAGCATTTAAAGATTGCACGGTGTACGTTAGATTAAAAAGTCTGTTATTTTTAACTCTGCTCTGTGGTGGATCCAATATTCTGAAAATTCATAATTTCAAATAAAATTAAATGATTACATCGAAATAATACAGAAAATATTCTACGTGCAGATGCAAGTAATTTATAATAATTGTCCTCAGTGTCCTCTATGTCACGATAGAAGAAGATTCATTTTATCGCAGAATTTGTAAGTTTAATATTAATATACCTAATACCCATTTTATTTGTAGTGATATATATGCTCGTAACTCATCGATGAACATTTCCCAGATAATTTCGTAATTAATTATATTTTTCTTCAGATATTAAATTAACCAGACTTCGTGTGACAATCAACGCTGCTTGAAGAAAAAGAGAATCCGACTTACTGCGCATCAAGAATGAGACTAATAACCGACTGAACTATAATAACTGATTAGACCAGCCTTTGTAATGATAAACTACTATGGTTTTAGAAAATCACGTTAATTTCAGAGAAGAATTGTGAGAGATATGCAAAAGCAATGTGAAATTAATCATTCGAAAGTTAAGTGAGATGAAATATAAAAATAATTAAAAATAAAATAAAACTAACAATTCTACACTCGAATTAACTTTCCTATAGAACTACTTTCTTGATTGGAAATTTTATATTTCAATGTTACTAATGTTCTCTTCCTCCAGTTACATAACACTATCAAAGCAGAACGACATGAAACGAGACGAAAAGCTAATTTTTATACACCGCCGGTTAATCGAGATTACACGAACATCCATAAAAGAGTTGTGTGGTCGTGACTCCCGGGTTGAGACTTGTTTATCGCGATCAGAAGCTGAAAAGTCAAGTTATTCACGAACAGTAAGCCAGAGTGGGGAAAGTGGCGCCCAGTTGGACACTAGTGTATCAAACTGATCGCGATATATACACTTGGTTAATTATTAGTGGCGCAATATGCAAGCACGTCTGTACGAATGACTCTCTATCTGTTTGATCTTCACTGTTTCTTTCTTTCTTTCTTTCTTTCTTTCTTTCGTCTCGTCTTCATTTCAAAATCTCATCTTTAATATTAACAACGATCGATAGCTCTCGTTGCAAAGGCAAATTCATTACACACTCGTCATTAAATATTCAAGCAAACTGTCACTCACGAGGATCTGAACTCTCTCATATCTACATACAGGAGTATGAATCTGATTAAATGACCAAAAGCAACACAAACTGTAAATTAAAATTAATTTATTAACAAAGATACGTCGCAGGAGGATACTAAGGGAAAAGTTCAATAAAAATCCAGCTTGCTCGTTTCAAAATTCTGACCCGCAAGGATAGTTTGCAAGCTAGAGCCATAGCAATTGGGGATACTATTCGCTGAGGATATTCGTGTCCTGTCGAACCTACCGGGGCTAGCCTAATAATATTATAAACCGAAGGTTGAATCGTGAGTTGGCACGTGTCGGAGATTAAAGCGCAACAAGAGGCTCCACCCTTAAGTCGGCTGAAAAAGTGACGAGATTACGAGGAACCGTCGCTTCTGCCTCTCCGATAGCGTAGGTCGAGCCTCGCTGATGATGAACCATGCTCGTCCCTCGCGTAAATCCTTGGTCGTTCTCTTCGAGAGATGCATGTGGGTGCCACGAACAGAGACGATCGGGTCTTTGTGTGCGTGACCGCGTTTCCTTGTGTGCACGCCAATGCGAGGGAGTTCTCGAAGGCGGTCTTTAGTCGGTCTTTAGTTTCGAGTAAGCATCCGTCGAAGATAGAGGATTCCTCCTCGATTTATCCTAGCGACTAAACGTCTCGTCTCCTCTTCCGGCTTAACTCTTCTCGATCCTTGCTACTCGGGCCGCGATTCTTTTCTTCATCGTTGCTGGCCCTTCTTTCCGCTCTCCTGTAATTACTGCTCGTATGCTTACTCCATTATATGACCTAATTTGTTTTCAACGCCGAAGCTTCGATAAACATTTTGAAATAATCGATCCAGTGGATCCTTCGATAAACAAATTAATTAGTTCCTTGCTGTGGGATGTCGAGTCGAGAGGAATTATGTAATTAACTAGAAAACACGAGAGAACTGACTTTTTGAACGGACGAAACACATGAAAATTCGAATCCACGTGCGCGCGCTCCAGCCAGTGCGATGAACAACTGATGAAAAGTAAAGTTGTGTTATTTATCGTTTTGTGACAGTCTTTCTTTCTTTACTCTTTTTTTTTCTTCTCTCTTTTTTACAATGTGAACGAGTTCGTGCTGTATTTTTTTCATTGTCAGATTGAACTTTTTAATGGCAAGATCAATGATCGTGAAGTTGAAGTTCGACGATGGATCATGAGAAAACGCGAATGTTAAAGTGCCGACGATAATCGACGAAAGAGTGGCAGGGTTACATTAGCGCGAGGCGAAAGTCTCCTTTTGGAAAGCGAGGGTGGCCATTTTGGTTCGTACATCGGCGATGGAACGGCGAAGAATGCCAAGAAGGAGAGGGCTCTCCTCCGGAGAAGTTCGAACCGGTGAGTTTTGCACATTATTGCCGTATTGATATTGATTGTCATTATCAACTGTTGCTGTTGAAACATAGTTCGAAATATAATAACGTTGCAAAACGATTTTCAGTTTGCTTCGTAAGATTTGGTAAACGAGCAAATACATTGCAATACAATCATGCAAAGAGAGACCAACACACTCTGCTTAAGCAAGAGATTAATCTTGCTTAATCAAGTAAACCGAACCAAAAATACCAAATGATAAACGACGAAACGTTCTAGCACGTTTCATACGTAGCATAATTTTAACGCGATATAGTTAAAGACAATCAGCAAAAGTGTCCGGCGCAATCTGAAATTCTTCGTGAAGGGCCCATTTAAAAATGAAATTTTAATTATGGCCCCGCGGTTGCAAGTAATCGTGGCCATTAATCCGACGAATCGAGAAACAGGCTCGCGTTGTGTGGCGTTTTATTAAAAAAGATCACGAGAAATGAGACGCGTAAGGATGAAACACGTATTCATCAGATTAGAGGAATATACAACGTTCGGTTAATTGTTGTGAACACGACAAGTGTTGGTGAAATTGAAATTAAATTAAAAAAACTACGAGAGTTGAGAAATCGTTATAAATTAAGAAATTACGCTGGAAATTTGTTGGCAGTGATTCATTATCGATAATGCTTCAAAACATTTGGATACGGAATAGAAGTAAGCAAATAAATAAAGGATGACAATATTCAGTACTTTCGTAATCTCCTTCGGGTTATCTTTCCTTGTTCATTTACTATCGCGTCACGTAATCGTCTCTTCGTGTGTAAAGTCTCTTAGGAAAAGGAGAACGTCATCGTTCTTCGATCGTCTAGGTTTTTCATTTTTATTCTTAAATACGAATCGTTTGTTTTTTTATAATTATTTTAATATAATACTCCCCGTTGTATCAGCGAAATTATTAATCGTACAATTGCGTGATGAGTGTATATATGTATATATAACAAATACATAAGATATATATATATATATATATATATATACATATCTATTTCAATTAAGCAAAATATTCGTATCTTCCAAAGGTAAACTTACATACGTGCTGTATCAATTTGAGCACTACAGATAATTATTACCAGGGAGCAAGAACTACTCTGATTACTTTTCACAAGTTCGCTTAACTCAATTCTACTTCGCGCAACCTTCAAATATTGAAATTGTCTTTAAAAAATACAACACTCAAAAAAAGAAAAAGAATACATGCAGATAAGATAAAAGTTAGAAATTTACCTTAGAAAAAGTTGAGAATTTTACGTTCTGATTCCGTTCGATAGAAAACTGTGCAATGATTTCTCTGAGCGCAAGTAACTCCATAAATTAACATCAAAACCGAGATAGGTTCAAGTACGAGTGGAAATGTCGAGCAGATAAAGTCGGTTGGGTCGTATCTTTATTGGAACAAATGTCAACCGCTCCTTAAGAACAAAAAAAAAAAAGAAAAAAATGTGGAAAAATCGGAGCATAGAAACAAACCCTATTTCTCTGACTTTAACCCTTATCTTTAATATCGACACGTTCGACCTTCCGATAACGCTAACCTAAGATAATAAGAACATGCGCAGCATCCAAATCTTCGAGTGACAACCGAAGAAGTTCTCCTATTGTGGTGATCACGCGTGATCTAAACAAATTGAATCAAATTGTTTGATATTGGGAGAAAGTCCGGAAAGTCTTCAAATTGTCTGAATAATATTGAAAATCAAACGGTACGATGAATTAAATGTACAACAAAGCATAAAATTAAATGGTACAATAAAGCGTAATACGATATAACAAATATGGCTTTCATAAATATGTAAATGGTGAAAAGATGGCCCATCGTATTACGAATAATCCGAATTTAGATAAAAGAAAATTCTGTCGAGTAGTCAGCCCATTGTTCCCTTGGCATTATGTTGCGAACAGCAATACACTGATGACATCGACGACGAAAAAGAAAGCGGGTCTCTCGTCGTCATGTTAATCCTCTGAACGTGTCGTAACTCACCTCGTTATATTATTTTCAGAATTTTGCATTGAGGCTTCATTTTTTTTTTTTTTTTTGTGTAATAAGATTTAAATTACACAAACGTAAATATTATACATGAAGAAGGAAATTCTGCGACGTTGGAATTGTACTTGAAACTGATCAAATTCCCTTAAAATAATTTCACTCGAAACGTATTAAATCGATTTGCGAAAACACGTGCGTTGAATAAGTTTAATTTAACGTTCTTTGAGTTTCATATTTTTGGAGAAGCTTGGGGCAACTCTTGTTGATTCGCCGAACGTACCGCGAACAATCTCGTTTTATGATATACGGACGATTCAGCTTGCTAATTGTACGTTTCGGAGGATAAACCACCCGTACAAATAATGCCTCCATTGTAATCCCTGGTTCTAAACCTCAGTTTTGCAAATAAACGGTAGCTGAATGTGTATGTAACTGTTCGGGATACATCTCGGTTTCTAAAAGTGCCGAAACCATAGTGGAAAACCGTAGTAACATCTCTGGCAAATAATCGCGAGCCACTTTTACTTTTATACAAATCCAAATAATCTCGTTCTACATCTACAATGGGAAATTTTTTGCTTTTGTACTCAAACTTCCGCGCAGATCGTTAGGGTAAAATTTAATTAAATGAAACTTCGGATAACAAGTAGTACAAAAGTGAAAAAACATTTCCGAAGTGTGCTTCTCCACTAACTATAACTATAACTCTTCTCGCTAATACTAAAACATGCCACTGTAATTACTAATTACTTAACGCGCGTTTGATGTAAAAATAGTGGCAAGGGTGACTCCCTCGTCGTTTTGCGTCAAAGTACGCACGATATCGCGGGTCATTTCGTTCACCCATCGACATACCGCGGATAAAGTGCATAGGTCATCAACGACGTAGGTAACACAGTTGAGAAAAAGCTGAACAAACGCTTTACCTCGTCGAAATAAAAAAAAAAAGGAATAATAAAGTTCGAAGATTTCGAACTTGGAAATTCTAGAGAGAGATGCTCGCACATTTCCGCGTGTCTGATAAACAACCCCCCGTTTCGTGGAATTGCAGCTTACTGGGACGTTCATTGTCAGCCGCGTTGATTCCTAATCTACATCGTTAGTTGAACTTCCAGTCTTTCTCTTCTCTCGAAATTTATCTTGGAATTTATAAGAAAAGACCATGGTAACAGTATAGCAAGCGATTTAAATACCATAAAGCGCTGTCTGAAAAATAATTGTGCAACTTTAAAATCCCCCCCCCCCCCCCCCCCCCAAAAAAATACTTAAAATTAACCAAAGTTAAATAGTGATCGAAAATGCAAACGACCAAAGTGTAATTATCCCTAGTAATTATCAGTTGCAGTTTGCAGATTTTCGAGTAACGAGCTCCGTAGTAAAGAGTTGATTTACCCTAAGTGAGTCCGTCGTCTTTCTGAAAAATGGTATGCGAACACACACACACACACACACACACACACACACGTAGGAAACGTTTCGTCGATTTTTGTAGAAGTCGTGCGATCTCGCGAGTACGGGCGATCCTACGTAGAGAGACGCATAGGAGAAGGGAAGGAATATACGGGGCGATAATAGGTACACATAGCGAGAGTCGTTGTCGGGGAGCGCTGACCGCAGAGATAACGCTTTGACCCGTTACAAGCTTCAAGCACGAAATGAATGCCTTCACTGTCTCTTCCCGAGTCGGGCCCAATCCAAATATGTAGCCCTTTTTCTTACCAGCCTGCCCCTTTATTAACCGTTGCCACCGTTTCTCCTGTAAATTCGGCTGCACCACCTTGAACCAATGCCATCCAGCATCTTCGGCGCTTTTGATACGAACAAGTCGTGCTCATTCGCAGAAGCTTCTTTCGTTGTTCTGCCGAGTGGCGAGATTTTCGCTTCTCACTCACTCGGAGTAATTCTAAAATTTCTTCCCTCCCCGACACATGTGGCAGAAGAAAGACTGAAAGTTAAATTGTAGCTGCATGAGAATTGATTTCAACATTTTCCCCTTTTCAACGCTAGAACTGCCACGAAACGATCGAAATGACTAATTCAGAAATTTTTCTTTAGATACATGACAGATGCAGAGTATAGTGTATCTTTAGGGGTTTAAATGATCTTTTTATAAAACACACACGAATGAAAGTTCGTGTATTCTATTGTATTTCTATTTTTCTTTTTTTTTTTTTTTTTTTCACTTTGATATCTCTGACGAAAATTCTATGCTTCGGTCACTTGGGTAGTTTTAGTGTCGAAACACACACGGTGACTTATATTCACTTCGTGAACCGGAGTGGGAATGAAAGTGATTTTTATTTGCTGGCAAACTCGCCGAGCACTGTAAACTGACACAATTGCGATAACGCGTAAATATTGTTTCAGAATTATCAGCGACCGCGTCCACACAACAATCGGAAGTAATAGTGAGGCTGCTGCCTATCAACGGCAATACCGTGATCACTGGATGCAAAGGTCGGCCACAGATTTGTGGAAAAGAGGCGGCCTGTCGCAGCTTCAAGGACAACACGTCGAAATGCGTTTGCCCCCACGATCTGTCAGCACCGACGACGGACCTAAAATGTCCAAATCGTCTAACAGGTCAGAGTCAAGCGCAACTCCCGTATTTTCTTCTTCGAGAAATCGAACATTTCTATTTCGACCGGTCGTACGTGTTTGCATTGATTTGAGAAGAAAAAAAAAAAAAAAAAAAACGAACTTTACTATGTATATATAGAAAACAAAGTAGAAAATGAATTATTTCTTTTTTTCGTTC